AAAGATCGAGGGCCTTTCTTTCCCAGGGATTCAAGCGTCGCGGCTGCGCCAGGCCTGGACCGCGGCGAGGCAGGCCGAAACGATCTCCGACACGCGGAAGAAGCGTGGCGTCGAGGATGATGACCTCGATGCGCTCCTGCCCAACAGTGACCTGAAAGACATCCGCGCCAAGTTTTACGCGAGGTATCGCCTGGGGTTCGGGGTCAAGACTGAGCCGTGCGATCACTTGGTGAGCAGAATCTCAAAGGAGCTGTCGCGGCGTTTGCTGCAGGCACGCGTTGGCGTTGTGCGCGCTGCGCGCGTCTCCGCGCGGTCGTTCGCGCGCGCGTCCGCAGGTGCATTCGGTTTTCCGCGTGAAGACGTTGACGCATCAGCTGACCATGACGAGGAAGCGGCAGCGCATTGCGGAGGGGCTAGTCCTCGTCACAGGGGAGCAAGCGAACGAATTCGACACGGAACCGCGCAGAGACGTGGCAACGTATGTCAATTTGCATCACACACTGATGCTGGCGTACGCGCGTGCAGGCGCAACAGCGCGCTGTGCATCGCGACGCTGGCGTTTCCAGCGCGCGCGGCGCGTGCAGGCGTCGTCCAGTTGGATCCGCAGCCAGCGGAACCAGAGGCAATGGATCGCGACAGCACGGATTACGTCGAGGCGCGAACGCGGTGCATCGCGCGCGGCAACCGGCGGTCCGTCGCGCGTCAGGTGCCGCTGGATGTCGTGCTCGCCTACCACAGGAGGCTCGCACAGTGTGCCACCATCCTTCCCCCGAGTCAGGCCCTCCAGTGGCTGCAACAGCGGGATGAGGAGGAGCGACAGCAGTGGGTTGACAGGCGCGCCGCGATCCGCGAGCTGCGAGGGGCTAGTGTCGCGAACGTTCCACCGGCGTGCAGGCATCGCCGCACGTCCATGTCGCTGGGAAAGATCATCAAGGATGTCTTCGAAAGGAGGGAGCACATGTGGGAGATCCCCGCACGCGGCTTCGCACCAGCCCCCGACGCGCGGCCTGCCGCGGACTTCGCGCGCGGAGCCCCGCGGGGCGCCCCGCCGCCACCTGCGGCGCAGCAGGGAGGCGCGGGTGCAGGGCGCGGGCAGCGCAACCCCAAGGGCGCGCAGAAGGGATCGAGCACCGGTTTGGCGACCCACCTCAAGAACGGAAAGGAGCTGTGCAAGAATTTCAATCGGGGGTCGTGCCCGGAGCCCTGCCCGAAGAATCTGGAGCACGCATGCTCCATGATCGTGAGCAAGAGCGGCCGCGTCTGCGGCATGAGGAATTACTGCGCCGCCGTGCGCCGCAAGGCGCCGATCCCGGAGCAGGGCGCGTTGTCGCAGTATTGAAGGGGCCCCGCCAGGGCGGAGGACAGCGCCGAGGCAGGGGGGCACGTTGCCTGTCCAGCGGAGCACGGCTTCTTTGCGCCAGCGCAGGCGGGCGCACCCAGCGCCCAGCCAGGTTTCCGCGCGCAGCAAGCGCGCGTTCTCGGCCAGGCGCAATCAGCGCAGTCATCGGGCGAGCAGGAGTCCGATGTGTCGGCACCGCAGGCGCGAGCGCATCAGCGCGGGGCGCCGAGCGACGGCGCGTCTTCGTTTGCGCAGGCGCCGCGGGTATCGAGGCACTTCCCCGTGATGTGGTCGCAGCGCCAATTGCGGCAGTGCGTCGTCAGCATGTTCCCCAGGGAATGGCTGAGCAGTTTTGTTTTTCCGTCATTGGAAGATCTAGTCAATCAGTCGCCGTTCGTGGATTTCGCAAAGTGGCTAGACGAGCGCAGCATCGCTGGACCAGTTGGCAGCACGGCAGGCCAGGGCACGTCTGCCATGCTGGAAGCCGCGGCGGGGCGACAGGCCGGGGCGCTCTCGGCCAAGCACGCGTTGCCGCCTCTCCTGGGCCACAGCCGGGATGAGGAAGAGCATTTCCGCGCCGCGGTTGATTTCGCGAAGCGGGGGAAGTTACCGTTCGATGAGGACGTTGCTGCTCCGCATGACTTGAAATTTGCGGCGGAGTCCACCGCCGCAGAGCTGCGCGACTTGAGGGAGTTTCGGTTGCGCAGCATGCACGCGCTGCAAGAGCTTAGTCGCCGGTGCAAGCCCCTCACGGCGGAGCTCTTGAAGTGGCAGAGTCCGACTGTGCGCGCCGTGGCGGGGCATATTCACGCCGGACTCATTGCCGTGCTGGTGGTGCTCGCGCGGTGGCCAGACCAAAAGCTGGCGTTGCGCTTTGTCACCGGCTTTGGCATCACTGGCGTAATGGAGAATACGGGTGCTTTTGAACCATCCGAGTATGAAGCTCCCATGCCCGTGCACTCGCTGCTTGGAGAGTCCAAAGTCTTGCTGGCGGAACTGGATCGCCAGCGCGCGAGTGAGGAGGGCCAATTTCTCTGGGATAGCTGCGAGGAAGAGTGCAAGAAAGGCTGGGCGGCACCGCTGCGAAGCAAGTCGGACATTGATGCGGAGTTCGGCGCGGGGCAGTGGGCGCCGATTCCTGCGTTTTGCCATATTCAGCCTTCTGGAAAAAGGAGGAGAATCGACGACGGGCGTCGGGGTAGGCAGAACGAAGCGACGGCATTTTGTGAGCGGCAAAGAATGTGTACGCCATTCCAGCCTGTCATCGATGCGAGGGTGGTCCGGCAAGCGTGTGCGGACGCTGGTGCCGACGTGGCCCGCGAGAGGCTCGTGTCGGGGGGCGAAGATTTGCCGTCGGCCTATCGCTCAGTCCCAGTGCACCCAGATCACTTGCGCTTGAACGTCGTGGCGGTCCGCGATCCTGTCACGGGAGAATGGAGGTTCCAGGTGGCGTGGGCGTTGCTTTTCGGTTTCTCCGCGTCAGTCATGCAGTTCGCGCGATGGGGAGGATTCCTGCAGGCAGTGCAGCGCCGCGTGTTGTCGCTTTTGCTTGCCATGTATGTGGACGACGCGAATATTACTGATTTTGAATCAGCTGGGGGCGCTGGTCAGGAGGCCGCACAGTGCCTTTGCGCGGAGTTGGGCACGCCTGTGGCTCCCTCGAAGACGAGGAGGATGAGCCCGTCCGGCGATTTTCTGGGCGTCGTGCACACCTTCGGCCCTTCGCTGGACTCGAATGTCATATCTTTCAGGGCGCGCGACACTCTCGTCGAAAAGGCGAAGACGTTCATTGCGGCGAGGCGCAGCGAGGGCAGGCTCACGCCCGGAGACGCCAGCAAGTTGAGAGGCCTCCTCAACTTCATCGCCAGAGCGGCGTGGCACGGCGTGGGCAAAGCAGGCATGGGGGCTCTGAGGCAACGGCAGTACACAGATCAGCCGCCTTGGACCCTGAGCAACTGCCTGGTGCGCGCCCTCGATTTCTTTTATATAATTCTGCAAGACATGCCGAGCCGCGTGGCCGAGATCGCGCCGAGAAGCGAGCCTTTGATTCTCATTGCTTCTGACGCGCGCGCTGACAATGACGCGTGGCCGACAGGGGGGTACGTGTTGTTAGATTGCGCCGACGGCTATCGGCAAGCTGGCTTCTGCGTTTTTGACGGGGCTCTGCTGGGCATGTGGGGCTACTGTGAGGAGCGCTTGAGGCAGGGCGGCCAGCCCATCGCGCTGTGTGAGGGCGCGATGCCGCCCATCATCTACCAGCGCCACGCTAAGCGGCTGGCAAACCGCCGCGTGCTGTATTTCATAGACAATACCAGCTCTCTGCATTCGTACGTCAAGGGCTGCGCGGTGCCGGCCGCGCTGGATCGGTCGATTGCTTTCACTAATTTCTTGGCGAGCCGCCGTTCGATCACCACGTGGTGGGAATTCACGCCTTCGGGGACCAATTGGTCGGACGGGATTTCGAGGCAGCTAGGAAGTGACGCGTTTGTGAGGCGACATCGATTTCCAGCAAAGCGAATCGGCGTGGACAGTCGTATTTGGACGGGCAGCTTGGAGAGCGCATGGCGCTTCGCCCGCGGGTAGCCCCCACGTGTGGCTGCGACGCGCCGTTATACATTGTGTTGCTCGGTAAGTGAACAGCGTTGGGTGAGCGAGCGGGGCGTGGGGGTGAGCAGCGTTGGGGGGATCGGCCAGAGGGATGCATCGCCCCTCGGTCGGTCGGCCTCCCGTCAAGGGGATGCATCCCTCCTTGGGGGAGAGCGGCTCCAGCCGCCCCAATGTTGTTCCCTATGGAAACCCGCTCTCTCTCACCTTAAACCTTACGTTCACTCCAACCAGCAAAAAACAATGCTTTTGGTCCCTCGGACCCAGTCTAGTAGCTAAGGTGGGCGCGTAGATTATGGGTGCACTTTAGGCCCGGGCAGGCATGGGTGAGTGCTTCATAATGTACGCGCGCGGACACCTTGGAAACGTCGCCCGCGCATGCAGCTCGGGGCGCAGGGGCGAAGAGAGGGGGGGGGCGCCCCCCCCCTTCGCTGCCCGCGCCGAGGGGCTGCGAGGAAGGGGGGGCGACGGGCCGCGGTGGCCGCGCTCACCTTGCGATTTGATTTTTCCCACCCTCCCGCCCTGGGTTTGCATTCAGCAAGCTGGGGGGGGCCAAGAGGGTAAGCGAAGCGACGAAGCCTCGAGCGCGACACTTCGCGCATGAGGGATGCATCTCCCCTCCGTGGTTGGTCGCGCATGAGGGAGGCATTTCCCCTCTGTTACAAGGGGGGGGATCGGCCAGAGGGATGCATCGCCCCTCGGTCGGTCGGCCTCCCGTCAAGGGGATGCATCCCTCCTTGGGGGAGAGCGGCTCCAGCCGCCCCAATGTTGTTCCCTATGGAAACCCGCTCTCTCTCACCTTAAACCTTACGTTCACTCCAACCAGCAAAAAAAACAATGCTTTTGGTCCCTCGGACCCAGTCTAGTAGCTAAGGTGGGCGCGTAGATTATGGAGGAGGAGGAGGAGGAGGAGAGAGGGAGGAGGAGGAGGAGGAGGAGGAGGAGGAGGAGGAGGAGGGAGGAGGATGAGGAGATGAGGGGCGGAGGAGGAGAGAGGAGGAGGAGGAGGAGGAGGAGGAGGAGGAGAGGATGCCCCCCCAGCGGAGCCCCCCCGCAGGGCGCACCCGGCGGCCGGGCGCTGCCTGCCCGCCGCCTGCCCCGAGTGCGACCTGCGCCTCTGCTTCGCGTGCGGCGAGCCGTGGCAGCCCCCGCCCCCTCGCGCGCCCCCCTCGCGCGGCCTCCCTCCCTCCCTCCTCCCTCCTCCCCTCCCTCCCTCCCTCCCTCCCTCCCTCCCTCCCTCCCCCTCCCTCCCTCCCTCCCTCCCTCCCTCCCTCCCCTCGCGCGGCCTCCCTCGGGGTCCTTTGGTTGCAAGTCACGGGGGCCTGGTAACCCCATGGCGATGATAAAAAGGACCCCTCCCCCTTTTTCCAGGCTAGAGTTGACTACCCACGGCCAAGAAGGGTTCGGTCAGGGGCGCGGGGCGCGGAGGCCGAACTTGTTCATCACTGTGAAAAGGTCACCATCGAGATCACTTCCTTCTTATGTTGAGATAGCAACATCAAGCGAAGCGAAGACGTTTTCGAGGATGTCTCAAGCGAAAGATCGGGAGCAGGATGACGCGCAGTCGCTTTTAGGGCCCACCTAGCTCCACAGTTTATGGGTATTGGGCTCTGGCTATACACAGCGTGTGCGAGTTGTGTGCTTTCGTTGCGTCCAAGACCTCCCAATCGGCTTCCCACGTGAGCCCCAGACGTCCCAAGACGCCCCAGAGACGGCCCAACAGTGCCCCACGACGTCCCAAGAAGCGCCCAAGACAGCCCAAGAGGGCCTTCAAAGGGCCCCCAGAAGGGGTCCAGGAAGGGGGGACTCGAATTGAGACTTCGAGCTCTCCACCCGAAGGCCCGATACTGCAAGGTGGCCCCCGACAGGCCAAAGAGGCTCCCACATGTGCCCAAACGGCTCCCAAGAGGCCCAAAGGGGCCTCCTGACATGCCCCAGTAGTTTTTACTTCGAAGCTCGCACGCGACCGCACGCCATAACCGCCCGAACCAGATCACAAACCAAACCGAGAAACCAACTATTACAGCGACGGGCAGAACGTCATCATACAACTATACACACATACATGCGCGCATGCATCTCCACCTATATATATATGTATATGCATACATGTATGCATGCATACATGCATACATGCATGCAGCCATGCGTACATGCATACACACACCGTACATACAAACATACATACATGCATGCATGCATATATACATACCTGCCTGCATGCATGCATGCATACATACATACACATATATACAAACACACATGCATGCATACATACAGGCATATCACACACATACACCCACCCATCCATGTATGATTGCAGATATGGATACACATACGTTCAAACGTGCACATCCATACGCATCTACAAACATATACGCAGTCATACATACACACATACATACATATATACATGCATACATACATACATACATACATGCATACGCACATACATACACACGTACATGCATACATACCTACATACATACATACATACATACATACATACATACATACATGCATACATACATACATACATACATACATACATGCATACATACATACATACATACTTACATACATACACACACATACATGCATGCCTGTATGCATATATGCATACATATATGCATACATACATACGTGCACGCATACGTGCATACGTTCACACATCTGGGCGTACGTACATACATACGTACACCCGTACACACATACATACACGCACGTGTTACGCACCTGGTACACGTTGTGTGTATACGTATATATCGATGCATGACGTATGTATATAGGTGCACACGCATATGTACACACGCAGCTCCACCGCCTGCCGAGGCCTCCGAAGATCGATCCCCAGGCGGTGGTTGTGGATGAATGTCCGCCTCGTGGTATCCTCGTCCTGCCTCCGCCGCGCATGCTGCCCTACAATTCTTTCCCTCCCCCACTCCCCGCCGCCGCCTCGAGGCACCCCGGCAGCGCCTGTGTGGCCGTCAGCGACTCACTGGTGGGCGCGCGTGCGTCGCAGGAGCAGGCAGCGGGAGCAGCAGCGGGGTGGGGGCGGACACGCTAAAAAACGGCATGCTTGATCTATAGAACCACCTGGACTGTTTCATCGAGGACGACAAAACGCCATAAACATAAAGTACTGGCGCTCCGTGTGAATTTCTGGCATGTGTGCTGGACCCCCCTTGCCAGGGGCGGCGCTGGAGGCGCCGCCGGGGGGGCCCAGCGCGGATCCAAGAGATCCGCGTGGAGCGCCACAGTGGCGTTTCTTTTGCTCCTTCGATTGCAGCCTCGACTGTGATTTTGGGATGCCAAGGCCCTGGCGTAGGTGCTCGACCTCTGGGAAGGCCAGGGGCAGAGGAGGAGGTGGCGGCACCTTGCAGGCAGTCGAGACGCTGAGCATACCAGGGCCACGTCGGGTTCTGGAGGGGCCTTGGCTCCCGGGCCGCTCCTTCCCAGGACTCCTCGTGGCCGAGGCGCTCCGTGGCCAGCAGCAGGCCCAGCGTTCCTTGTCCAGCCCCCTCCTCCTCCTCCTCCTCCTCCTCCTCCTCCTCCTCCTCCTCCTCGATCCTCGACCTCTAGGATCCTCCTCCTCCTCCTCCTCCTCCTCCTCGATCCTCGGCCCTGGACCTTTCTGGATCTCGAGATCAAAGGCCGGTCACCCAGAAGGGTCTCCTCGCGCCGCGCCAGAGCAATCAGCGGAAGAGTTGTTTGCCATTGCCGTTCCACCCTTGCGAGCCTTTCGAGCGCGGCTCTGTGCCTCCGTGTGGAGGCGCAGCCGTAGCGGTCTTTGCCGCATCGGCGGCGCGCGGCGGGCCCGCCGCGGCCGCGCACGTATTACCCCAGGAGGGCCTCCAGAGGCCAAAGCAAAACAACGAGGGCCAAGGAGGCCCGACGAGGGCCGAAGGGGCACGAGGACCCGACAACCCAGGGCCCCAGAGCCCCAGGGCCCCAACAAAGGAAAGTCAGGACGGAAGGGGGGGGCAGAGGAAGGATGCCTCCAGGGCTCTCGAGAGGGTGGGGGGGGGCTAACCACAGGGGTCAGGGCAGCGGGCGAAGAAACGGGCGACAGCCCCGACCCCCAGGGAGGAGGGGAGGAGGCTGCTAGGCCCGAGGGGAAGGGGAGCGTCCGTGGCACCCACATGGTGCCAGGGCGCACTGGGGGCCAGGAGCCTGGGCGCTACTGGAGGGTCCGCACCCCTGACACCACCGCCCCAGATAATACCAGCATCCACGCCGTGAGATATCCTGCGGTGTTGGGGTGGAGGTATCAGGGGTGCGTAATCAGCTACGCTGCATCTGCCTTCGACCCCGCCCGAGGCGGAGAGGGGAGGAAACAGGAGCCAGGAGGAGAACGAGCCAGGAACATGTAGACTTAACGGCATGGGTCCTGGGTCCTGGCTGGCATCGCCCGCTCACCGCGGGGCGGTTCACTCGAGGAGCTCGACCTCATCCCCCTCCTCTGGAGGGGGTGTCCACGAAGATGCGGCCGACCCTCCTGGTGTCGCTCTCTCCGCGCGAGTGGTGGGCAACCTCTGGCTTCTCCCTGTGGCCGCCGTGGTGGTCGAGGTTGCCGAGATGGTCGAGGTGCTGCTGTCGTTGTTGGCTGCCGCCGCTGGTCGAGCGCTGCTGTCGTTGTTGTTGGTCGTGTTGTGGCGGCGTTGGTTGCACTGGTAGGTTTCCATGCACCGACTTCAAGTGGGGTTCTTGGCTGTCCCACCACGTCCCGCTATGGCTAGAGGTCACAGTGCCCTCGGTGGGGGCGAATCCCAGACCTTGTGCTTGCTTGGTCTGCGTGCCAATAACTGGGTGGTTGGGTGGTCTGGTTGTTGCTGGTCCTGTTGTGTTGGTTGTGGGCGCACTTGTAAGGCCTCCATGCACCGACTTCAAGTGGGGTTCGTGTCTGTCCCACCTCGTCCCGCTATGGCTAGGGGTCACGGTGCCCTCGGTGGGGGCGAACCCCAGGCCTTGTGCTTGCGTCTGCTGTTGGTAGGGGTCGTCTCGGCTGTCTTTTGCTCCGCCGCTGGGGCGCTCGGGTAAGCTCCGATTCCGCCATGGGAATGGCGGACCGCGGGGGCGCGGGCAGTGGCCGTCATACCCCCTCCCTGCCCATCACCATCCCCCCTGGCAGGCGCGGGCAGTACTCGTCCTGCCCCCCCGTCCTTCGAGCCCGTCTCGAAGTTTGATCCTTGCTTCACCAGGACAGCCTCGACATGCACGCGTGCTGGTTGTTCGTGTATGTGTTGTTCGTCTTCATTACCATTGCCCGTGTCGGACGTTATTAGTCTTCTCGGGGAGGGCGCCTGGGTGTGCTCGATCTCGATGCCGCCGAACGTGTCTGTGCCGTCGTGGATGTCGCGGGCGTCGTGGGTGCTGTGGGTGCCGTTGATGTCGTGGATATCGCGTATGCCGTGGATGTCGTCGTATCTTTCGTATTGGTGGCTGCCTCTCAACGACGGTTCGCCGTGGCGCCCAGAGCCGCTGCCTTCCCAAGCAATGGTGTACGGGTCGAGGTGTGCTGCGTCATGGGTGGTCAGTGGGTCAGGTGGAGTAGTTGCTGGTGTCATACCCCATCGCACAATCATCAGTCTGTCCAGGGAGTACGAGATGTAGGTTGTCATGTCGGTGTGTTCGCCGTCGCACTCGATACTGTTGTTCGTCGTCATGACCCTAGTTCGAGTTCCGTTGGAGCTTGTCGTAGTGGTATTGCTGGCGGTGGGATGACGGCTGATGTGCTGCAGCTGAGGCGTCCTCCAAGCCGTAATTCCACGAGGATTGGTTGATTCTACAGCTGGATGGGCGACAAGCACAGGGATCTGGAAGGTCTGCGAGGCGCTGGAGATCTCTCGATGATGTCCCTGAGGTCGTCGTTCATGGCCGAGATGAGGTCGTAGTCATTCTGGCCCATGCTTGGTGTGCCCCACGGGTGGATTGTGTTTCTGCGGGATGCGATCTTCAGCTCGTCGGGGTCGTGGTTCTCGACGAACCAGGTGGTTATCGGGATGTAGGCGTAGATGCCAGCGATGATGCCCTCTTTCATGTTCGCCTTTAGTCTGTTGAAGAGCCGTCTCGTCATTAGTGAGTCGTGGCCGAGGTGGAGGCTGATGTGGATGTAGTCGATCCCTCGCGAGCTGGAGATGCAATGGGTGGTCATATGTTGGAAGAGGTTATTGTGCATCCCAGAGCCGTCATCTATGCATGCGATCGCTTGCCATGACGCAGTATTTGGAATTGAGGGAGGCGGCCTGGCTGGACTAGTGCGAAATGGAGCATATGCCCGTGGTTGCTGTGGGAACGTCTCAAGAATGGGAAGTGGTGCGACGTCGCACTTCTGGGCTGGTTGCGCTCCGTAGGCTTCAGGTCGTCCGTCCCGTCGGTTCTTCGTAGTTACTTCCTTGTGGTGGTCGTTGTTGAAGGCAATCTGCTGGTCGGTCAAGGGCGTACCGTATGTCGTGTGCCATGCGTACCAAGATGTCGAGCATTGTCTTGATGCTTTCAGGTGTTTGACGAGGCGTGGGTAGGAGTGGAATTCCGTCTGGCAGCATCTGCATGCCGTCCCTGTGGCCCACTGTCGGGGATCGTCGTGGTGCTTGTGGTCTTTGCCCATGTGGATTGCCATCCCCTGCTTCGTGGCTGTGACGCGCTCGCATATGCAAATGTACTCTGTGGTGGGTGTCTCTGTAGTGGATCTGATGGTCGCTGCTGTCGGCTGGTCGTATCCGATGTCGCGGTTTGTTCGGTCGGTCGCTTTTCTACCCTCCTCCTCCTCCTCCTCCTCCTCCTCCTCCTCCTCCTCCTCCTCCAGCCTTGGCTGTGCTCCGAATTCCTGACCCTCTCGCGTCGTAGACAAGCATCGCGGCGGAAGGAGTTTGGCCATCTCGGGCCCCCCGCCCCCCCCCAGGCTCTGGGGCCGTCAAAACGAAGTGTCCAGGATGGAGAGCTGGCCTCGGTCAACAATGACAGCTTCCCCTCGCTGCATGCTCCTCGCTTCGCCTTCCTCTCTTCCCTCTTCGGTCTCCCCCATCGTTCTCCTCGCCTTCCTCTTTTCCCTATGTTCTCTCGTTTTCCTCGCTTCGCCTTCCTCCTTTTCCCCTTTTTCGTTCTCCCCCATCCTCGCCCTCCTGCTCATCTTCCCGCTTCGCCAGCGGCGCGCCGTGGGTCCTGTGACCGTCGGCGTTATATAGCCATTGTCCGGGTTCTTCGGGGTGGCGTGCTTGCCTGCGATGGCCCCCCTGCCAGGTCGAACACCAAAAGCTGGCCCCAGCCAGTTGACAGGCGAATGACAGGGGCGACGTCAGGGTGGCTAGACCCGCGCACCAACTCTTAAGTCGGGCCTGTCCCTCTACAGGGGGAACATTCAAAATTAGTCAACAAAAATAATATGGGGACTGTTTTTTGGACCAGTTTTGGGCATTTGGGGGGTATCTTCTGACTTAAAACAAATATATTTTTCGCCCAAAATCCCCCTGTATACAGGGGGATTTGGGCCGAAAAAATAGGGAGACAGGCCCGACTTAAATAGGGGCCATATGGAGACAGGCCCGACTTAAATAGGAAACAGTCGGGCCGGTCCCCCTATAGGGGGACAGGCCCGACTTAAATCAGCTCCCCATCGCCCATGGATCGCCGCTAGGGGAACCGATCGCTCCCACCACCCGGGAGCCTGCGGTGTCGCCCGCGGGGGCCCCTCGCCGCTCTCTTGGCCATGCATCGCCGCTTGCAGCTCCTCCTCCTCCCTCCTCCTCCTCCTCCTTCCTCCTCCTTCTCCTCCCCCTCCTCCTCCTCCTCCTCCTCCTCCTCCTCCTCCCCCCCTCCTCTCCTCCTCCTCCCCCTCCTCCTCCTCCTCCTCCTCCCTCCTCCTCCTCCTCCTCCTCCTCCTCCTCCTCCTCCTCCTCCTCCTCCTCCTCCTCTCCCCCGGAGCCGGTCCCCCCAGAGATCCGACGTCGTGTTTTTTTTGATGCGGGACCCTTGGAAGTCTCGACCCGCTCCCCTGGACCGGTCCCCCCAGAGATCCGACGTCGTTTTTTTTGTTAATGCGGGGTTCCCTGGAAATGCGACCCTCTCCCCGGGGCCGGTTTTTCATCGGGATCCTGAGTCGTTTCTTGACGGTCCATTTCCCCTAAATAGAGATCCAATGTCGTGTTTTTTCAAAACGGGGTCCCCGGAAGTCTCGACCCACTCACTCCCCGGGGCCGGTTTTTCATCCCGAGTCGTCTTTTGACGGTCCCGGGGCCCGGCGAGGGCCCTTATAGGGGCCGCGAGTTGCGAGAAGCCTCCGTCCAGATTTGTTCAACTCGTTGGATCTATGGCCCCCCCTGGCCCCGGTGAGTGGATTCAGGACTCTGGGGGCCCCCGTAGCCACGACGTCGGAGGCCCAGCCGCGGCAGGAGCAGAGCAGCGCTTGCGGTCCCGGGAGCCCGTGAGATAGGGCCGCAGGGCGCGGAGGGCAGTTGCGAAAGATTGGAGGACGTGGTCTCTGCACCGCTCGGGCGGGCGGTAAATGGGGCGTGACCTACATTCGGGGGGTGATGACTAGCCCTGAGATCTAACGCATTGAAAAAATCAAGACGTAGGTTTCTCTCAGCTTTCGGCCTCTAGGGGCCCTCGCCGGGCCCCAGGACCGTCAAAAAAGTCTCAGGATGAAAAACCTGTCCCGGGGAGCGGGACGAGAGTTCCAAGGGCCCCCGTGTTGAAAAATCACGACATCGGATCTCTGGGTTCGTGGGTGGCAAAGAAGAGGAGGGTGATGACTAGGGGGGTGCATCTCATGGCGAGGGCCATGATAGACGCCCCCAGATGTCACGGCGCCGTTTCTTGTCTCAATGCGTGCTAGCCCCCCCCCCCCCCTGGGCCGCCTACGTGCCGCCGCCGCCCGCCATGATTTGCGCCCCCCCCCTCTTGGACGCCCCCCTCCTGGCCGCCCCCGATAAAGGGGGGAGCGAAGAAAGCAGCCCTACAGGGGCCGCCCCTGCTGGCTCCCAAGAGGGGCCCAACGAGCGCCTCCTGGGGCCCCTGTCTCGAGCCCCTCCCTCCTCCCTCCTTTTTGGGTCACCCCCCAATTAAGCTGCCCGCAGAAACGGAGGATGCCAGGGCAGGCCTGGCTCCTCTCAGAAGCCTCTCCCTCCCGCCGCCTTTCTCAGAGGAGCGACGGAAGAACTCGGGGTCGGCTGCGCGGACACTGGTGAGTGCGCATCGTCGTTGGGAGTAGGTCTTTTTGGATTCCCAGGTTCCAATCTACCTGGAGCGCCTTCCTACCTCAATGATCGAGTGGCCTCACCTTTTCCCTCCTCATCAGGGGGCGGGCGGAAACCCGATCTACTTTCAACGCCTTCCTACTTCACGTTTCTACCTACTTCTTCCGACCGATGGGTAGGTTCGAGCGTCAGCGCCTTCGCCGTTTCCACTGCAGCGTGCCGTGCTGGCTGCCCGCGCGAGCCACCGCGGAAGGTCGCTGTGCCATCTTGCGTCAGGCCCAGTCCTCTTCGTCGCTCACTTTTTTCCATTGCGCCGTTGCCAGACCTCCAACGTGCTGCAACAACCAGCACTCCATGCTGAGGCCTTTCGCCGCCTGCGCGGCTGAGGACAGGGCCATCGACTTCTGGGGACCCCCGCGCTGGAATGCTCGACTTCTCATGCTCCAACCTACTTTAGGCTGGATCACCAGCAAAAATTTCGAGCGCCAAGGAAATACCGACAATTTAGGGTTTTCGCGTGTCGGACCCTGAGAGGCGATCCTCGCTCGACACTGTTTCGACACCATTCTGGGTGCTCGAAATGATGTCTGGGATGTGACCCTGAAGCACGCTGGGAGCAACGTAATGTCGACATGTCGGACGCTCGGGCTGTGCACGTCACTGTTCGGCCCGTCTGCCCCGGGCGCCCTTCCGAGCGCCGTCGGGGGCCCGGCCCACGGTGGCCCCCGTCGCGGCAGGTGCGCGTCGTCTCGGCGCGGCGGCCCCCCGCGCCAGCGTTCCAGGCTCCACGCCTTTGCGATCGAAGAGCCGTCGATCCTTCAAGGTCGAACGATCCACCTGCCCTGAGGCCCCACGTTGCGAAACGATCCTTCAAGGTCGAACGATCCTGCAAGGTCGAACGATCCACCCTGGTGTCGGAGACCTGCCCTGAGGCCCCACGTTGCGACACGAAGGCGACATCGCGGAAGATCACCCCCATCCCGCTGTCGCAGTCTTTTCGCGGGCGCAGAACGGTACAACAAATAAGCGTATCTGAACTGTTTCCGCCGTCCACGACGGCGGGACAAAGTTTGCTCATACCGTTTTGCGCCCGCCAAATGCTCAGAGCCAGGCCGATCTGTGATGGGCCGGGGGTCCCGAAACCGGGCGGAAATGTCCAGGGCAAAAAACAACCCGCAACGCCCAGGCCTCAAGGTTGTGTTGCCGGGGGGGGGGCTGCGGCCAGCGGCCCCGCAGCCTGACCCACCCGCCGGGCCCAGCTCGGGGGGCCGCGGCCGTCAGCTCTTCGGAGGCGACGATGGGGGCGACGCGCCCAGAGGCGGGCATTACGTACACGTATTCGTCCAGGAGCCTCGCCGAACCCCGAGATCTTGGCGACTCGATCTTTTGTTTGAGCTGGGCGTCTTCGCACAATTTCGGGCCCCGCAGCCTTCACAGGTCGAGCCGGCTCGAAAACTGGCGCAGGAAGGCGTGGTCCAGGGCTCTGGCTTCCTACGATGTCGAACTTTTTCGCTTCGTCGCGGATCTCAGGGAGGGCATGGACCATCGGCGCCACTGGATCGAGGTATCGTGTTGCTCTGCCTTGGGCTCTTGGCCCCCGTCGTCGCCCCCGAGTGCTGCTGGCGCTGCGGCGGGCTCGGGGAGCTCGCCGGTCGTCCGCCCACTGGCGTCGGAAGCCGAGGGCGGGGTCGAGCGCTCCACCCCGACGTCGCGGTTTTTGTCAGCACCTCGACCCCCAGGGCTAAGCCGGGCGGGTCCCCCTACAGGGGGATTTTCGACGAAAAATGAAAAGGCACCCCAACAATGCCCCAAAAAGGTCAAAAGAAAATATTCAGAAAATAGTACCCAGACTATGTTTGGACTATTTCTTGATTATTTTGGGGGTATTTTTTTTATTTTGCGTCAAATCCTCCTGTAGGGGCACAGGCCCGACTTAACCCCAGAGGTTTCGAGGCATTCCCTGGGATTGTTGTTTCATCCCGAGTCGCTTATTGATTTTTCCCGAGCCCGGCCAGGGCCCCCGCAGGCCGAACATAGATCGGCTACACGTAAGGGTGACCCTTCGCGCCGGAGCGGCCTCTGGTACGGGATCGTCGGGGTCCTCCCGATCGCTGGGCGGGTTGTGTCAGCGGCTGCTGGCGCGCTTGGATTTGACCACCCTGCGCCCCCAGTAGTCCGCGCACCAAACGTCGCTCCTGCCTGGGGTCCCTCTGGCGTGTAAGCGAATACAGCCGGACCGAGGCGTAAGATCGAGTTCGTCTCGGGGAGGGTATCCTGACGTTCTTCGCGCCCGTTGGATTTTCTTGTGCACCCTGGGGGTGGACACCCTCGAACTCTTTTCATTCTGGGCGGCGGAGGTCCTCACGTTTTTGAATGAGTTCTGCGTGGTCCGGATTGTTCCTCGAGGAGAGCTCAAACAACCTTCTGGGCGACGCACACTGTGCAACGGCAGAACGCTCATGCCACGGAATACCTTTTGGAGGTGGTGAACAGGTCAAACGTTCAGAAGGAACAGCGGTATGCTTGAAGTGATCCAGACAGTCCTTGCATCTGCAGAGGAGGAGGGAGGACGGAGGGAACACAAGAATGCGGAGAGGAGGGAAGTATAGGACGATGAGCAGTGATGCATGTGTGCGCGCGACTGTGCGGCTGGCGAGGCCTTCCTGCTGAGCGAGTCTGTTGCAGTCCGAGGGGGCCTTGGGGTGCCAGGAAGCAGCGCCGGGACCGCCGCGGCCCGGGCCTGCCGCGGCGCGACCGCGCCGCTCGCCCCCCCGGGCCGCTGCGCCCGCAGGTGGACCAGTGGGCGGTCGAGCGGGACGCGGGGCGCTGCCCGCAGTGCCGCACCATGATCGAGCGCTCCGCCGGCTGCAACCACATGACGTGCAGGCGGCGCGTCCCCAGACACGCTCGCGCCGCGGCAGCAAAGACAACCACGGCGGGAGGCTTTTTTTTGGGGGGGGGGCCGTGGTCGGCCTCATGGGGGGCCCTGGCTGGGCCCCCGGGGCGGCCCAGACACGGTGCAGGACGAGAAGCCGTTCCTGGGGCATGCATGGGTCGGGCCATTTGGGATCCCCGACTCGAGAAACTCAGGACGTCGCATGCCTGGGCCCCTGTAGCGTCAAGATCGGGTGTGGCCAGGACGAGGAGGAGGTGGAGGAGGAGGAGGAGGAGGAGGAGGGGGATCAGGAGGGGGAGGAGGGGGAGGAGGAGGAGGAGGAGGAGGAGGAGGAGGAGGAGGAGGAGGAGGAGGAGGAGGAGGAGGAGGAGGAGGAGAGGACCCGGTCAGTGGCAGGGCCCCGGCGCCTGCGAATGGGCCAGAGTCACTCAACCAGGTTTTTCGGGGGACGGCAGTTCCGGTCCGTGGACAGGGGACGGAGGGGGGGCGCCCCCGGGACAGATCACGAAACCAGGTGCCACTACACCCAGCTCTACCAGCGCCCGACAAGACGCAGAGAGAAGGGCCGCTGCCGCTTTGGGCCCAGGGTTTGTCGGGCCGTTCTTTTAAGATGTGTGCGGTGGCACCTGTTTGCGGCCTGGGCGTTCTTTAAGATGGGTCGGGACATCTGGGATCCCCGAATCGAGGAACTCAGGACGTCGCATGCTTGGGCCCGTTATGGTGTCAGACCCGCAGAGAGAGAAGGGCCGCTTTGGGCCCGGGGTTGTCGGGCCGTTCTTTCAAGAGTTGTGTGGTGTGGTGGCACCTGTGCTTGCGGCCTGGGCCTCGCCGGGGCCAGGAGAGCCCCTTGTCGTTGCTTATGGTGCGCTCCTCGTGGTGGCACGGCGGCTGTGGCCTCCCATAGGGGGGTCCGAGCAGAGGGGGTCGAGGACTCGCTCCGCATCGCGCCGCCGAGATCTCCAGATTCCTCACGCTATCCTCGATCCAGAGGGGCCAACAAAGCAAGACCATGGCCACTGCATCTGGAGTCCAGTCGAAGCTCGAGGCAGCCCAGATGGATAGATGGGGCGTCACAAGCAAGGCCTTGCCTTCGAGGATCGAAGGAGGCGCCACCTCTTCCGCGGCGGAAGGTCGACGGAAGTAGAACGAGGCTGCCTCCGCCAGCGGTGGCCGGCGGAAGACGGCGGAAGCTAGGCGGAAGGCGGCGGAAGTGAAAGATGTGCCCCCAAGAGATGAAACCGTTGTTGGGTTCAGTGTTTCCGAAAGCGCCCATAAAGGTCTGGAGGACTATCTCGTAGCACTCTGGAAGGTCAAGGCAGAAATGTCCGAGCAGATGGGGGCCGAAGCGTCGCTCCGCAGCACCCGTGCGTCGACGGTGCAGCTCGATGCGAGGCCCTAACTTCTCCATGCCGATGGCGACGATGCATCGTCGAGGCATCGGCGATGCAGCGGCGACGCGGCGCGATCCTCCTCGAGGAGGGCTTCGAGAAGTCCCCCGTCTCCTCATGGAGGAGGAGGAGGAGGAGGAGGAGAAGGACGAGGAGGAGGAGAAGGAGGAGGAGGAGGAGGTGGAGGAGGGGGAGGGTGAGGAGAGGAGGAGGAGGTGAGGAGGAAGGAGGAGGAGGAGGAGGAGGAGGAAGAGGACCCCATTGAGGGGGCCTCTGTAGCGTCGGCTCGGAGCTCTGGGCGTGGCGCCGCTCCTTCGCGCCGAGTGTGTGTTCGCCCGGCTTCTGGGGCCCCGCGGGGCCCTCGCGGGTCGACCTGGCTCGGACGACTCGGGAGAGAGAGACGGGGCCTATAAGGCTCCAGCCGCGATTTCTCGCGCTGCTGCAACTTCCTCGCGGCGTCGGAGCTCGGGGGCGGATGGGGCACTCGAGACGGCGGCGGCGGGGGGGGGGGGGGGGGGGCTCCTGGACGCTTCGCGTCGCCGCGGTTCGATCCGCTTCGACACACGGTGCAGGGCCCACCCCGAGGAGGGGTCCGGGGAGGATGCTGAGCGGACCCGGGCCGAGCAGGAGGGCCGCCGCTGTCTCCACGGAGCGGCGCAAGAAACACAAAAGTGGGCTCGCCTGCGCAGACCTTCGGCGTCGGGCGCGTGGGCACGGTCGCGCGTGAGCTGCCCGCGCAGGGTCGCCTTCGGTTCCAGGGAAGCGTTGCGCGCGGGCGGCCTGCGCAAGCCACCGCGCAAGGCTCGGGCAGGGGAGATCGACTGCAGAATTGCTTGACCCCAGAGTTGAGTGTCCCGCGGAAGCTACGGAACACACGTAGAATGCCCCGTAGATCTACGAGCATTCGACGTGTTTCTTGCATATTCGGCGGGGTTGTCAATTTTGGAGAAAGTCGATTCTGTAGTCGATCCCCGATTCGGAAGGTATGTCATCTCGCGTAAGACCCGCTTCTTCTCGTCACTCAACTGGTGCTCCTCTGAGTGTGGGCTCCTGCGGCCGCCTGCGGATCCTGCGGTGCGTTCGCGGCGCGCGGGCGCGGCGGCGAACCCCAGTGCGGGCGTCAGAGACCAGCGCCGACGCCATCGCGACGTGAGCCCACCGTAAACCCCAGCTTTACGAGGGCCACGGGAGGGGTAGTACTGAGCATGCGCTGGACACGCACACACACACACACACACACACATAGACCCACATGCTATATAGATGTGTGTGTGAACCATCGTGGACCCCAGACAGTGTGCTCCTAGCGCTGTACGGTGTGCAATTTATGTGGAGTAACCTGCGTGTTACACTACACGTTGTGCAACGCATGTTGTGCAATCCATGTTATGTAAGCTGTGCAGTATGGGTGGTGCAATCTATATGGTGCAATCGATGCTGTGCAATCTACGTGGTTCAAATATACGTGGTGCAATATAGGTGGTGCCATCGATGCTGTGAAATCTGTGTAGTGCAATTTATGTCGTTCAATGAATTGTGTGTGCTCTATGTGGTGTGTGCTACGTGGTGCAATCGATGCTCTGCATCCTACGTTGTGCAATCTAGTTGGTGCAATCCACCCTGCTGAAATTGACATGGTCAACTCCAGTTCACGCAATCCTCCCTCATCCCACCCACCCACCCGTAACTTGGTTTGCAAAACCCATGCGGCGGCGATTGCGACTGCGTGGCGATGGCTGGCGCATCTTTGCGGCCGCGCTAGTGCGCGCAGGCTCGCGCATAGAGCGGCCAGGTAGTCTGGCGCGGTCGATGCGGCCGCGGTGGCGCGGACCGCTGGGCACTTCCCAGCGCGTCTCCTAGGCCGCACGCGCGGGCACTTCAATGCGAATCGGTTATTCTGGCGGGCGCGATACCATTGCGACGTTGACAACGACAGGCGCTATGATGATAGTAGCCGTGCTGGCGACGAGGATGACACTGACGACGGCAAAGCCAACGACCGCGCCGACCCTGATCACGCCGGTGACGATGATTCTGTACACGCGTCGGCGAGGAAGGTTTTGGAAAGATTTCGGCACGCGCGCGCGGCCGACGCGCGCGAATGGCCACCAGAATGGCATTTCACAAGGATCTTGCCCCCCCCAGCCAGCAAGGGCGTTCGAACGATTTCCACATGCGCGCGCGCGAGAGGTCCGCTTGGTCGTACTCGACTGAGCTGTTGAAAATCACCGAACGCTTTCTGAAGAACTCGCAGGAGCGCGTGTGAGGTTTGTCATGTTGACGGGAACAGCCACGGTGCAAAACCAGTGTTTGAAAATGTTCCGCGGCACTCGATGTTGAAATCCTCACGGGTACATGGGCGTTTGACGAATTCTGGCATGCCCGCGCGATGGCATGCCCGCGCGTTGCCCCATGCGTTGCACTGAAAGGTCGTGACTGTGGATAAACGAGTGCGCGCAATGTATTATTCCACGAGGATGAGGGGGGCGTCGAACTTGGCTGGGGTGGTGCGAGCCCGCATCTACAATTTAAACGAAGCGAAAGGACAGCGTCGTGTGTGAATTGCGCATCCCCTGGTGCAGCAGATAGCCTGAGGGGGGCATGTATAACAAACAACAAACTTGAAATAAGCATGGCCCTTTATGTTGTGTAAGCGATGCTGTGAAACCTGCGTGTTGCAACGTATGTTGTGCAGTCGTTGAAACATGTACTCCAGATTTCGTAATAAAAGGGAGAGGGTCTGGAACCTCCAAGACAAGCCATTTCAGACCTCCCCCGTGGGATAACCCTCCAAGACATCGTCCCCAGACCCCCCAGGTCGTCCAGGATAGCCTGGAAGAGACCCCCCCCCGAAATGAGACCCCCCCCCCTTTATTACGAAATCTGGAGTACGTGGTGCGATCCAGGTGGTGCAACCCACGTGGTGCAGCCAACTTCTGTTGTCCGAAGGATTGCAAACAAATTCTTTGCAATCCTTTGCAATCCTGGGTTTCTTTTGCAATCCAGGGTTTTTTTGCAATCCTTCGCGTAGGTGGTGCCGTCTACATAGTGTGATGCATGCTGTGGCGGCGGGGCGGCGCAGACGGCGGGCGGGCGGCGACGGAGCGGGCGACGGGGCGGCGACGGCCTCTACATAGCCGCCAGTAGACCGGCAGAGAGGCCCAGGCGGCGGGCGGCGACGAGGCGTTGTCGGGGCGGCGACGGCCTCTACATAGCCGCCAGACCGCCAGAGAGGCCCGGACGGCGGGCGGCGACGAGGCGTTGTCGGGGCAGCGACGGCCTCTACATAGCCGCCAGACCGCCCAGACGGCGGGCCACGACGAGGCGTTGTCGGGGCGGCGACGGCGGCTACAGCGCCGCCAGACCGACAGGCAGCCCCAATGATTCACGACAGAAGCGAGAACCCTTACGTGCAAGCACCGATTGACGAATAAGCGCCGAAATCGTGCGTGTGTATGTATGTATGTACGTATGCATGCACGTGTGCCTGTATGGATGTATGTATGTGTGTATGTATGTGTGTATGTCTGTCTGTCCGTCCGTCTGTCTGTCTGTCTGTCTGTGTGTATGTATGCATCTCTGTATGCATGGATGGATTGATGATTGTATGTTCATCTATAGTCACACATCTAAACAAACTGTTCGCACATATAGGTGCGCAGAAAGAGAAACAATGTATATACATAGACTCCTCGCTCTCCTTCTCCGCCTTCTCCTCCTCTCTTCTCCCCTCAGCTTCCTGCACTATCGTTCCTCTCGTCCCCCTCTCCCCCCCTCTCATCTTCCCCTCTCCCACTCCTCCCCCTCGCCCCCTCCCTGCCCCACCTCCTTCCTCCCCACCGCCATTTCCGCCCCCGACCCCACCCCACCTCCCCACCTCTATCCTCTACCCTCTTCCTCCCCCCTCGACGGGGGGGATGCCGGGCGGGGGGGAACAACCACAAAGAACAGTGCAGAGGGATGTGGGACTCGGCGAGGACACCCGCTCGCGGACCCCGCCGCGCCCCCCCCCCCCCCCCACACCGTCTGTGCGGGCGGGAGACGCGGACCCAGCTCCCCGACGTCGTGAGGTTATTTATGTAGCTAAATGAAATAAGACCAAGCTCGACCCACAGAGGTCTCGACCCATTTTCCCGTGACTGGCTTCTCATCCCGAGCCGTTTCTTGAGGGCCCTGCGGCCAGGCAGGGGCTCCAATAGTGGCCGAAGGTAGTGAAAAACTTGTCGCCATGATTACTCCGCATTCCACAATTAAGTCACAATTAAGTGGTGGGGGTCACATTTGGGGGGGTCTGATTTGAGCTGTCTGGAGGGTTCGGGGGGGGTCTGGGCAAAGGGCCGCTCTTTCGTGGATGGTCTGGGGGGGTCTAAAACTTCTCGTCTGAGAGGGTTGTGACCCCCTCCCCTTTCCTTCTCTTACGAAATCTGGAGTGTGTCGGCTAGACGCAAGAGGGACCCTGGGTAAGAGCGACCCTCGGTGCGCGGCTCCGCGGCCCCGCAGCGCTGCCCCCCTCGCCAGGCCCGGCTCGGGGGGCTGCGGCCACCAGTTCTGCTGGCTCTGCCGCGGGCTCGGGGCGAGAGAGGTCGCGGGCCGCCCGCCGCGGCCGCGAGAGCGCCCCCCCCCCTCCGTGGGCGGCCCGGGGCCGCGGCCGCGCTCCGAGGGCCTCCTCCTCTTCATCCTCCTCCTCATGCTCCTCCTGCTGCTCCTCCTCCCTGCTCCTCCTCCCTGCTCCTCCTCCTCCTCCTCCTCCTCCTTCTCCTCCACCATCTCCTCCTCCTCCTCCTCCTCCTTCCTCCTCCATCTCCTCCCCTCCTCCTCCTCCTCCCAGGGCACTTCCAAATTACAGCAAGTGTTTGAACGGCCCGGCGTCCGCCCAGACGCCCCCCGCCACCTGCATGAGGTCGGCCTTGCCCCCCTACAGGGGATCTTCACGACAAAAATCATAGAACAGACCCCAAACATAAAGACCCCAAACATAGCAAAACATAGTCCAAACATTACTTCTGCAACTGCAGGCCGAAAGATTTTCCTCTTGAGCCCTACATGTCGGAAGTGACGCGCCGATCCCCTCTGTTCTCCTCCCACCTCCTCTTGCCTCTTCCCTCATCTTTCCCCTCTTCATCCTGGGAAGACCCCCCTCCCCCGTAGAATCATAGCATTGGTCTGCAGATCCACAGCTCCGTGGATAGCATGATGCTTCAGTTGCGGTGCTCCGCGGATCCCATTTCCCCTGGGTCCCGGATGTTAATTGTTATTATATATTTATTCCAGGGAAAAATGGATCCATCGTTTTTTTCACACACGGGAAATTGGATCCGCGCAACAAAGAAATAGGATCCACGAAACTGCCCCACACCCGAAAAGGGATCCAATTGGATCCATTGGTGTTCTCATATTTTTTGTCCAAGAGGAAAACACTTTCGGCCTGGGGATGTAGTCTGGGGATTTGTTTTGCATAATGTTTGACCTTTTGGGGGCATGTTGGGGGTATTTTTACTTGTTCGTGGAAAATCCCCCTGTAGGGGGACAGGCCCGACATAACCCTGGCAACGACGCTCCTGAAAATTCGGAGCGGCGGGTTTTGGGCAGTTTTCTGCCTCTGGGGGCCCTCGCCGGGCCTCGGGAGCGTTGAACAACGACTCAGGGCGCAAAGCCAGCCCTAGGGAAGTGGTCCAGACCTCCAGGGCCGACGAATCGACAAAATTGGAGTAGCCGGATGTTTGGGTTTTGCGGTTTTGCACGAAATGTTCTCAGAACATGTTTGGTTTGGACTGTCTTATTTTCACACATCGGATTCATGTTCTAAGCACATTGTGTTTGTTCTTCGAGCATTTCTGGGTTCTAAGAACATGTCGCGGTAGGTCTATAGGAATACCATGACTGTCGGTCCCTGCTCAACTTTGGGTCTGGATTGGCCTGTGATGATGGGTCTTCCCTTTGTTTGCCCAGGCCTCCCAGGGGCTGTCGGATCAGATGGGGTCGGAGGATCGCGCCGCATCGCCGACACATCGGCCGCGCGGCTCGACGTGGAGCCCGATCTTCTCCACGCGGACGTCGCCGATGTATCGCCGATGCATCAGCGATGCAGTGAGATACATCAGCTATGCGGTGCAACCCTCCGGCCCCATCTGCTCAGACCCAGGAGGCTTCCAGCTTGTCAGCGGCCACGTGGGGTCACGAAGCAGCCAGCGCGCGGCAGAGTCCCCTGGTCTTCCACGCGCTTCCAGGCCAGACATGCGATGCCTTGAGCTCTTCCGTATGCGTGGTCCCAGGAGTCCCGAGCCTTTCCCAGGGCCGTCTGCTATTCTTTCCGAGTCGTCCCTTGACGGCCCTGGGGCCCAGCGAAGGCCCCGAGAGGACAAAACGGCAGACAGAACGCCCGCCGTGATTTTGTGTTCGGGCCGCGAGCAGGTCTGGGCCAGGATGCGAGGTATCCTTCAGAATCGGCGCGGGCACATCCCTGCGCGAAAACTGACCGAGTCTGGTTTTGATTGTTATCTGGCTCAAGCCCGCGTGATCCGGCGCCATCCCGATCAGCACGGGTTTTGGGCTTCATCCGACCTGCCCTGGCTCCGTGGCGGCTCCTCCATAAGGCCCACGACGACGACCTCCCTCCAGGAGTCGCCTCCTGCTCCCCAGACCCCCTAGTTTTTATACATATATATAATACATATATGTATAACATACATACACACAAATTTATGGGTTTTCAAAGGTCTCGACCTATTCTTTTCAAAGGTCTCGACCTATTCCCTGGGACCGGTGTTTCATCCTGCTCGTCGCGTCTTTTGACGGTCCTGGGGCCAGGACGGGGCCCCCAGAAGGCCGCACACGGCCAAGCACTCGCAGTCGTGATTCCTGTGATCCGCCGACGCGAGAGACATGCAACAGTGGGAGAGATCGCGACCAGAGCCCCAGGCCCCATTTTTCTGCGCATGTCTCCGAGCTGGATCGATCTGTGATGTTCCTGGGACCCGTGACCAGGCAAAAACGACCGTTGCAGAAATTATAGCGGGAGTGCAGTATCCCCAAACTGGGTTTTGAAACACCCACTGCGAGTCGCGACGATGTCTCGGGCGAAACGTGCTGCGAGGAAGTCTCAGGCGAAACGGG